CATCCTGGTCCTTATTCTCTAATGCCGGCCAAGTTCTATCTAGACTGATGTGCATTTAAATGAACTGAGTTCATTTGTTGTCCTCAGAGTTAACATCACTCTTTTCTGGGTTTTCTGTACTCCTAAGCAAGTGGCCTTCCGAGAGGCAGCTGTGGCCAGTTTTGGGGTGTGGGGAGGATGGCCCCAGTCTCTGACCCATTCTGGTTGCTAAGCCCAGCCTTTTCAGAGTGGATTATAGCGAAGTGGATTATATCACTCAGACACCAAGAAGGGCAATTGGAAATACAGGACAGTTCCCTTTCCCATTTCCTAGCAATCAGTACAATCTAGATTCCTGATTCTGCTTTGATTGCTTCCATCATATCATGTTTATGTGGTAATGGATCTAACCTTTTCTTTTCTTTTTTTTTTATAAAAAGGGAAATTGCTTGGTTTTAACAAAGAGAGAAAAACAACAGAATTGCTACTTTAGCTTAATATTTTTTCAGTGGCTTGAACTGCAGAATCTGTTTGTAGACGTTTATTCAAAGAGGGTTGTTTGTGATCTCTGATCTCTGGTGATGGCTCCAAAGCTGTTGATGTTCTGGGCCAAAGTTGTGTCTCAGTGCCTCCTCCTTCCTCAATGCTTTTGCACTTGTCCTTGCATTTGTCACCTCACGGAGTTCCCATCTTCCTACAGGAAAGCAATGGCTGCCTCCCCTTCACCCTTCGCACGGGTCCTATTGACAGAAAGGACAAATGACCATGTCTGCCTGTAGGAAAGCCAAAAGGTGGGCACATGGTTACCTTGAATAAAAGTTAGCCAAGAAGGGGAGTATGAATATGGGGTAGGCAGCCTGAGTATCATGGTGACCACAGAGTGTCTGAAACTTGGGGTCCCATTTTATCTCATTGCAAGATGAAGGGGTATCCCTGTCATTGGGACATCTTCAGTTTTGTACAAATGTTTTCTGTTCATCTTTGTAAAAATACCCTGGCTGTTCAGTTTGTTCATGCCCGAGGGAGCTTTTCACCTTAGATTTCTAGTAAAGCAGAAGATATTCGTGTTGTATGACATGGCAAGTGGCTCATAGTAGTTAGAGGGACAGAGACTGGCTTCCGAGGCTGGAACTGAATGAGGATAAAGCAGTGATTATTCACAGCACTGTGGTAAGTGCTACCCAGCCAGCATTGTGGATAATCACTACAGTTGTTACTATCAGTACTTATTGATAAGACACACCTAGAGAGTTGCCGCCCTGTACCAGCCACTCTGTGAATGGCTGCCAGAGACACAGTGGAGACAAGTTAGATATGGAGATTTATCACTCCAACAAAGCCAGCCAGGAAGTCAGCAAAGCAAAGTAGGAAGGTAACTCCAGGAAAGGGTGACAAGGTCTGGGACCATCTCCCTGGAGAAACAATTTAGAGCAGAGAAAACTTTGCTAAAGACTTATACTTCTAAATATCCAATTACCAGTGAGATATTTTTGGCAAAATTATCATTTTGTGGGAAAAAAACACATCATAGGTACCTTAATCATAGAGTCAATGATGAAAATTGTTACAGAATTTGCAGGTTTTTATTTTCTCCTGACAGATGACTCTCCGTCTAATTCTCCATGGAGTTGACCCCCAACCCTTCATCACTCTGGACTCAGTGGGGAAGTGCTAAGCTCAATGCATTTTGTGTGTGTGTGGGGGGGGGGGGGCAGGGTTTCTCTGTGCAGCCCTGGCTGGCCTCAAACTCACTTTGTAGACCAGGCTGGCTTCAAACTCACTGAGATCCACCTGTCTCTGCCTCTCAAGGGCTGGAATTAAAGGTGTGTGCCACCACCACCCAGCGGTTCAATGCATTTTTATTTCATATTCTTCTTCACTCTGTCTTTGTTTTATCTTCCCCTGTGGTCTTAATGTGATAACCCTCTTCCAAATCATCCTGGCCATGCCTCTTCTTACAGTTCTCACAAGGAGAGAAATATGGTGCCCTTCGGGGATTGGAAACAAAAACATCTGGACAACTATTAAAAATATCACTCTACACTATAACTTAATCCAGAGTGTAAGAATATCACAGAAAATAATATTAAGTTGCATTTCCTGTATATGATGTGTTATCCACTGAGCTGCATCTGGGATGATGGAAATGTTTTCTGTTTGCTTGCTTTTGACCTCTGAGATGTCCTGAAGATGGAAAGAAGTCTTGTGTGTATTCTCATTTGTTCTTTTACATATCCCTCTATTTACTATAAGTTAGATCTCTTTAGTTACTCAATATGGTCAAAGCATATTTCTTAATTAAGGACTTAATAATTTTTAAGCATCAGACCCTCTGGTTTGTTTAAAAGTTAGTTTTTATTTGTTTGTTTTAAGAACAATTCCTTGGAGCAGCAGTTTTTTACTAGGGGTTTTACCTCAGGGGGCCTTGAGGCAAGAACTAGGTGAACCCTTGCTGTGTACCTAAGATCTATGCCTTGCCAGAGATGAGACGGTTCCTGTTTTTGTCTATTTGTCCTTTGGGTTGTTTTAAAGTCAAGGAGTATCTAAGACACAGTTTTCTATTGTCTGGTAAATGGAATGAAAATATATGGGATGTTTAAATTTATTTGAATAGTAGCAGGCATGGGACCCAGCCTTGCTTAGTATTTTCATGCAATATAATCACTCTGTGCTGCTGCGAGTTTTTGGTTACAGGTAAGCCTCTTTCTAGCCTATGAGCACCTCACAGGAAGAACTCTAGGTTGTTAACCCCCAATTCATTTATAATCACTTACTGAGGGCCAGTTATGTGTCAGGCTAGATATTGGTTTCACAGAGGCAAAATAGCCTCTAATCTAACAAAATAAACAGACATCAAACAAATGGTTTCATTTATAGTTGAAATAGGTTTCCTGTGTTGAGAATATCCATGACCAAGGAGGATAGGTTAATATGTGCTGAGTAGTGAAGTAGAGAGAGCAACAGAGGTCACTCTGAAGCACCTGTCTGTGAAGGGGGGAAAGTGAATAGCCATGAAGAGAGAGGACTATGAGGTCTATTGCTTCTGTTTTTATTTTCCTTTATATAATGTATAGGGCTGGATTGTGTTTGAATATTTGTTAGCTATTCAATGTGATAGTCTAATGATCCTGAAGAACGAGACTGTGAGCCCACACAAAAATGGTGGGGAATTTGCCGTGGAGAGAAGCAAATGCTCCCTGCATTGCAGTGGAAAGGGGGGAGGGAAGTGGCCATGAGGACAGAGGCAGAAGAGGACAGTTCCTGTCCACTGGTCCTTGTTTTCTCAGTTGGCAGCAGGCAAGCTCTCTGCCACTGAGAGCCAGAGCCCAGCCATCAGTGAAGGATTTTGCACAGTCAGCACTATGCATGATTATTGCCCCCCCCTTCCCTCTCAGGAGAATGTAGTTATGTAAAAACACACTTAGGGAGCAGTCTGACTGAGTGGATCCAAGGTTCCCCTTCCCATAGCTAGGTGTGATCGAATGTCAAAGAGCCTCAGTTATTTGCAGTAGAGTATAAAGAACAGTTGCTAGGTCCTGAGTTAGATGAGGGATTGGCTTCTGGTGAGAGGGCACTGACGGGGGAACTAGAGATGGCCTGGAAACTCCACAGATGTTGAAAGCAGCAGCAGCAGCAGCAGCTGGAACTCCTGAGCGAGCTGACTAAAGGGAAATGCTTTTATCATCAGCTGGACTGCCGTTTCAGTGAGGGGGGGACGAAGCAGTCCCAACAAGGTCCACTCTGTGCAGCCGGGTGGCTCAGGGAAGAAGACACTGAGATGAGGCTAGTGATTGGGAGCAGTGGGGCTCGACACATGGACAGGAAGTCCTGGGAGGCGTTGAGCTTCCCCGGGCCAGCTGCTGGAAACAGAATCAAGTGAACCGCGGTGATTTGGATGTCAGTCTTCCCTGGCTGACAGAGTGAGAGAGGCAGATTGGGGAGAGTGGTCTGGGAATATGAGGGGCAGGAGGTCTCTGAGTGACACTGGAAGGGCCAGCAGCACTGACTTCTCTCACATGGGTACCCGGAGAAGTACCTCTTGAAGAGGGCTGTGGGGAGAGTGTCTTTACACACATCCAGAAGACATTAGAGCTAGGAGATGAGGAAATCCTGGTCTAGACCAGGTGTGGTGAGGGGAGCTGGAAGCTTGCTGAGCCTGAAGTAGAAGTGTATGAGCTGGGCATGGGAAGGAAAGCATAGTGTTGAAGAGATACCTCCTAGATTAGTATGAGGGAGTAGGATGCAACATTCCATGAGCTCTCTCTCTCTCTCTCTCTCTCTCTCTCTCTCTCTCTCTCTCTCTCTCTCTCTCTGTGTGTGTGTGTGTGTGTCTATATGGTGAGTGTATGTTTCTGTGTGTGTCTCTGTGTGTGTGTGTGTGTATGTGTGTGCGTGTACATGTCCAGGTGTAGATGGATGTTGTGAGCACAAATACAGAGCTGAGCTTGGGGATTTAGCCCCGTTCATCTTTAGAGGCTGTCTTATTTGGGTGTTATCATAAGTCATCTCAGGCCTGGCCAGTTGAGTGCAGTCCAATAGTACAGCATAGTGTTATCTAAAAGAGGGAGAGAGGTGAAGTATGAAGTTGGTTTTTTCTTTGCCTTGTCTTCACAGCCACATTGAGGAGCTTGGCTAGGGAGAAAGTGCTGGGGTCTGCATCCCCCCACTCACTGGCTTGGTTGTGGACATTTATGGAACTCAGTCATCAGCTTGTGGCTGTGTAGCTTTTGCCATTACTAATCTCTAAAAAAAAAAGTGAGCATTCTTGTATCTGCTTTTTAAAAATGTTCCACAATGCCTGTTCGTTCTCCTGTCTCTGACACTATCCATGCTGCAGTGGTATCTATCACAGCCATCATAGGCTCTGTCACATCACTTTTATAATTCATCACAGTACTCAGTGTTTGGGGTGACAATTTGTTTTAATTGGTAAAGTCTCTGTTAACATCATTTGCATCTTTTAGGCTTTCCAATTCTTTTTCAGCAAGAGTTTTGAGGCTATGTTCTTTTACTTCCTGAAGGGGCACACGACGTGAAAATCCTTCCAGGTCAAGCTGTATGTCCTACTCCTGGGTGCCGAGGAATAGGCCATATCCGTGGCCCACGTTATGCAGGGCACCACAGGTAAAGATTTTCCTTACTTACATCATTTTAGGGATGAAAGAGAGCACTGTGCAGACCAGCAGCTGTATGTAACATTGTGAATGTGTCTCAGAGCCTGCTGCTACATCCCCCCGTCACTGTGCCTTTCTGATGTACTCACCCTACCTCTGTCTTGCTCTTCTTCTGAACCATCTCCACACCTGCCGAGTCTTTCTCATAGAAAATTCCAGAAACTTTTCTCTCCTGTTTTCTGTTTTTTTTTTTAAGTTTTCCCCCTCCTTTTTCTTCATATGGAGGATAGATGATTCTATTAAAGAATATTAAATGAGAGCAAAATTATTTTCAATTTGTAGGTGTTTAAAAGAATGCAGAGTAAATGGTACTTATAAAGAAATGTATGCATATACATTCGTAAACCTTTGCTATTGTTTCTATCCCCAGTAGTTTGTAAAGTTATGCGTAGATGAGTTATTCATATTAACGATCTAGTAAGAGCACATAAATTAAAACTGAAAAGAACCAATATTAAATTTTCCAAATACAAACATCAACAATAAGCAGGAAGAGAAAGGAATAAGTCATGTAACATGTGAAGTAAGAAGTCATTTGCTCACACAACAGAAATTTAGATGTAACACAGGAAGCCCTTGCTTTGTCAAGGAATGGCAGTCTGAGAAGGCAAAGCCCAAAGTACTTCCGAGGTAATCAATGCAAGTGTACCTAGAAGAAATACTGGGAAACATGCCGCATAACTACCCATATGTCAGTGATATGTGTGTAGACATGTAGCATGCCCATTGAAAAGAAACGAACCAAATGCATGCAGACATCTTGGTGGCTTGTGGGCATCTGTGGGATTATGAGCAGAACTGGATCTATTGGAATGTCTCAATGTTCTGTGGGGGGAAAAGAAAATCAGTGAAGGTCAAACAAGGATGGCAAAGGCAAGAGGCTGGTGCAGAATTAGGAGGGTTGTCTGAATTGGGTGAGGCCTCTGTGGATGTTGGAGCCACTTTTCAGACTTTATCAGATGTGGCTACAGAGAATCTTCATGAGTGTGTGTGTGTGTGTGTGTGTGTTATACACGCATGTGCCTATGTATGTACTTGTATGTAAAGTGAGTGTGTGTTTATGTGTACTCTGAGCTGCAAATTCCAATCTGGCATTCCCTAGCCCTGTAAGTCTGTTTCAATTTAAATTAATTAAAATTAAATAATATGAAAATATCATCTCCATATTTCAAGTACTCAGTGGTCATCTGTGGCTATCATCCCAAACAACTTGTGTGTAAGACAGTTACACCACCATAGCGTTCCATTTGACACACTCAAAGGAATCTCATGTAGTGTTCTGCCTTCATTGTGGCATTTTCTAAGTGACAGGTTTTTCTTAGTTCTTCCTTTACAACTAGGGTCATTGTCCTCCAATGTAACTAAGTCATAATGTTGCAGCTAGTCCTTTCCCACAGAGCTCTCAGAGGACACCTTCCTGTGGAGCTTGGGTTCCCTGGAAGGTCTTGCAGCCCCCCTGCCCAGCAGGCTCCCTGGAAGGTCTTGCAGCCCCCTACCCAGCAGGCTCCCTGGAAGGTCTTGCAGCCCCCCTGCCCAGCAGGCTCCCTGGAAGGTCTTGCAGCCCCCTGCTCAGCAGTATCCCCCATGTTCCCCACTTCTTCCAGCTGTGTGTGTGTCACTGGCTCACCTTTTCTGGCTGGATTCTGAAGAAGCCAGCGCCACAGTGGGCATGCTTTCCCTGTTCCAGAAGTATCTCTAAACCCTTCACTAACCCAATATGTTAAAAACAGAGCCTGCTCACTGCTCTTTTTTTGTGTTGTTTAATCATTAACATGACTATGTCTGGTGTGTTTTATCCACCAAAAAGTCGTTCAAGGTTTGATTGCACAAACTAGAATGTAGAATAAAGATGAGTGAAGCCTAGAGAGGGGAAAAGTCCACGGTAGATGTATTACAATGCCAACAACTGGACATGGTTAGTGAGTCGGGAGGCATGAGAGAATGCCCCCCCTCCCGAGCCCACACATGCTTGGGGCTGTTTGGTTGGCTCTTGTCCAGCTTTTGAGCTGGTTATGACACAGAAGGGACTTGTGTAAATAAAGGCAAGGTGTGAGAAAGCTTCCCAATCCCAGAGACTCAGAAATGAACATCTGCAATTAGTTTATCTTTAATTTCAGAAAAGATAAAATTTTAAGAATTAGATTTTTTTTACCCTTACATGCTTACTAAGTACTAAGGCATTTAAGTAAACACATAATGTAAATAAAAATCCAAACTTATGTTTGAACAGAAAGCCTATAGCCTTACTTCTATTTAACAGTATTTGATACTGATAAATGAGTTGCCCATTTTGTCCAGTAGAGCTGTATAGATTGTAGGAAGGCGGTCATTGGAAAGTGGGGACCTCAGGTAATGTGGCAAGCTCTAGGTCACAATGGACATCTCTTCTCTGACTTTAATTATTTAACCAATTGACTTCCTGTGTAATTTGAGAATATATTTACGTTGTCTTGTAATTAACTGAGTAAGATTTGTTGTGTTGTCTCTAGTCCTGGAATGTGTTTCCACATTCTTTGTATTATTGTGGCCTAAACCTTACATAATTCTGAAAGTGTAAAAGTACCATTCTTCACTTCCTGTCTGAAGGTGTCTATCCCAATGCACACATATATCCACATATACCCATGCACAAGCCTGTTAAAAATATTCCATTTCCCACCCAAAGGGATTATCATGAACTTTGTTCCTATAGTCAAAAAGATGAAAAGTAGCAGATGAGCATTTTAAAGCATCCTCACTCTTCACACCCAGATAGAGTCAACTATGGCTTGAATCATTCCTGACAAATTTAAAGGAAAAAAAAACTTATATATTCTAAACATAAGAACTTCTTTCTCTTGACTTAGATTTATTTTTAAACCAAAAGGCATCGTTCTGCAAGATGCCTCTTGCAATCTTATTCCAAAGATTATTAGGCAATTATTATTATAGTCAAAGAAAAAGAAAAAAAGGAAAGCCAAAAACAGACCCCAAACCGGTTGCACTCCGGGCCTGTGTTTAAGTTTCATTTTTATTATTGTGATGAAACACCATGACCTAGGCAACTTATAAAAGAAAGTATTTAATTTGGGCTTATACTTGCAGAGGGTTAGTGCCCATGATGGTAGAGCAAAAGCCTTGTGGTGGGAACAGCTAAAGGCTCACCTTACGATCACAAGTAGCAGACAGGGAAGGGGGGGGGGATGACAGGAGTCTTTTGAAATCTCAAAGCCCACCACCAGCAATACATGTCCTCCAACAAGGCCACACCTCTTAATCCTCTCCAAACAGTTCCACCAGCTGGGAACCAATTATTTAAACACACAGTCTATGGGGACTATTCCCACTTAAACTACCACAGCCAGTATACAGCATCCCCTGTTCCTGCTTCTGAAGCCTGGGGAAGTACGAAGTCGCCCAGGTCTGCTGCTGCAAGGAGAGTGGCAGTACAGCCCTGTTTCCCTGAGAGCCTCCCAGGCTGGGCAGAACACACAGTTAGTGCTTATTGTTTTTACCTAACTGTGTCAGAATTTCCAGTTCTTATATTGAAGGGCTGGTATTTTGAAAGGAAGTGAAAGTCTCTTTAAATGAGTTAAAAGAGTTGTCAGTGTCTCATTTTATTCAGCGGACAAGAACAGTGACATCAAGATACCACTGAAGACTTTTGGAAATAATCTGTCATGTCAACCGATCAGGCAGGCAGACTGACCCCTGCAGGCCCTTTCTAGACAGATTTCAGTTGGCTCTATTTTCACTTTTGTTAAAGTAGTCAAGGGGTTAACAGCAGAATTCAAGACTATTTGAAGCTTATGTAGAATATAAGCCATTATTTGGAAGAAACTGCATCAGTTCTATCTGTGAGAAAAATGGGACTTTTGGCACACAATTATCATGCAATTTACATTTTATTTGAATGAATTTACATAGCAGAGAGAATGAAGTAGTCATATCTGTTAACATAAAAATATTTAAAGATAGCCACCTAAAAACTTAATTTTTGAGCCAAGATCCAGGATGAACTAGAAAATGTGTTTTTTTCCTAAATAAATAGAATAGTCTTGGAGACTTGATCTACTGCTGTGTCATAAAAAGATGCAAAGGTAATTTATTGAGGAATGAATAATTACATTCTTCACACAGATAGCTAGGGAGCCCTACGGCGTGGGGGCCTCTGGCACATTGCAGGTGGGTGGGATGCAAGGCACACATGGCTAATGTGTTGCAGAAACATAGGGGGACACCTGCTGCTCAGAAGTGGGGTTTCATTTCCTCAAGGTGATTTTGAGTGTTCCTCATGCAGTGAGATCACAGATCAGCCTCCAGATGGAGTTTACATGGAGTAACTTTGTCAGCTAAAATCACTTCAGATTGTGTGTGTGTGTGTGTGTGTGTGTGTGTGTGTATACGTGTGTGTGTACATGCATGCACACCCACAGGTGTTCATATTTAGATTAGGCTGGATTGAATGCCCAAGTCAGATGCTCTGATCTCTCACTTACTATGTAGTATGGATCAGACTGCCCCACTCATCTTGGCTTCAATTTCCATCTATCTAGTAAATACCTCTTGGCCATTAGAAAGGGTGGTGTTAGCATTCATAAGAAGTTACAACAAACATAAATTGTATGTCTATTTGTTTGTAGAGGAAGAAATGGAGCATATAGACCAATCTATATAGTTTTGTGTCCCAATCTGGCCTTGGACTCAATTTTCCTGTGTTGAGATTACAGGGATGTGTAACCTTCTCCTTCAGTCGTAATCTGAGTCTGGAATCTGGGATTTCTTTCCCTGCTTTGTTTAGCCTCCTGGTCTTTTAAGGATAGAATGAAGCAAGTAGGTGTGTGTGTGTGTGTGTGTGTGTGTGTGTGTGTGTGCGTGTGTAACTAAATTATTCCCATTTTTTTCTTTCAGCCTTGGTCAGGTAGATTTCACTCAAAAAGAACTCTTTTTCTTCATTATGTTGAAAGTCTG